ATAGGCTTTGATAGGAATATTTCAACATCTTTCTTGCCAGTATCAGTTATTCAGTATCACAGACGGGGAGAGTCGGTAAGACCAAGGGCAAGTGAGGAAGCCCTCTCCCAGCTGGAAGATGGAATTTCTACCATGAGTTCATTTCCAAGGAGGAGTAAATAGGATTATTCTTCATTAATCTTTTTTTGCATCGCACAATTCACCTTCATCGTGATGGCCTTTTCCTAGGGAGGCCCAAGACCGAAGGGCAGGGGCCGTACCAGGCCAGGCCAGCAGCCAAGCTGCTCATCGTGGGGACGGCTCAGCGCTGGGGGCTGCACGCTCCCCTTGCACTGGCCCTGCGCCTGGCTGGTTTGCGGGGCGGTACCTGAGCAGGATCTGAGGCCGTTGCAATAGCACTTTCGCATTTAAGCAGGGATTTAGCAAGTGACAACATGGAGAGCTACCTGTTTCTGCTGTCCCTCTCCACCTCTTCATCAAAGTCTTTGTCTCCTGTCTTGTGATTTGGATGCTCCCTTCTTTCCCTGAATCTTGGATGGGATCCTAATGTTTGAGAGATGGGGGCTTTTCCCTTCCAGTGATCCACTCTTCCTGGGAGAACAGTTGGTTTCAATCATGTTTTTTCTCATCTGTGTGACAGTCTGTTGCAGCCCCTTCTCTCGAGTCTCTCTGGGTTGGGTGTTGGTTTTCTGCCTTGGTCGGCACTCAGCAGTTTAAGATTAGCTTGCTGAAGGTGCTGTAGTTAATCAGGAGATGGTTCTCTCGCTCTCTCTCGTCAATGCTCTTTGCTGCCTTTCCTTTCTTCTGAGCTCACCAGTGCTGGTGCTGTGATTACCTGGTGTGGGCCCGACCTGGTGGCTGGATTCTCCTTGGGAAGAGTGTGGGATGGATGCTGCATTTGTTAATCAAAACTCTCCTCTCTGTTGACCTCCTGTGGCTCACCCGATGCCAGGGGCAGTGCCAGACGGTAGCTGATGCTCCTTTCTCTGCCCTCTTACAGTGCCCCAGGACCTGATGGACACGCCGGGTGCTGGCCTTCCTCCCATGTGGCAACCCAGCACCCGCAAGTCCTCCTGCTCCTCCTGTTCTCAGAGTGGCTCCTCCGACGGTGGGCCATCCAACGGCTGCAGCCACGAGAGGTATGACGGCTCTCCTGCTGCTTGCTTTGAGAAATACAGGTAAAATAAAACAAGGGTTACAGGTGAAAGCCCAGCTGGATGGCTGGACTAGAGCAATTTGTGGTGCAAGTGATGTCTCCAGCCTTACGCTCAGCTCGGTTGTGCAGGGATCATTTGCAGGGGCCAGTGGGATGTGTCCAGGCTGAAGTGAGGCTTGTCCCCTCGTCTGGGATGTCTCGGCTGCTCTGTGGCTATGTCCTGGCAGCAAGAATTGCCGTGCTCAAGCTGAGCAGAGGTCCTGTGGTGCACTTCTGAAGGCAAAGTTGGAACAGTCAGGTCAAAGCAGGGGCTGAAGGAATGCGTGGAAGCATTTGAAGATAGATTTAAACCAGATATAAGAAACAAATTTTTCACAGTGAGAGTGGTGAAACACTGGCACAGGTTGCCCAGAGAGGTGGTAGATGCCCCATCTCTGGAAACATTCAAGGACAGGCTGGATGGGGCCCTGAGCAAGCTGATCGAGTTGAAGATGTCCCTGGTCATTGCGAGGGGATTGGACTAGATGACCCTTAAAGGTCCCTTCCAACCCAAACCTTGCCATGATTCTGATTTCCTCTCCTCACACGTGATATGTTTTTATTGGCAGAGCTCCGCTGAAGCTTTTGTGTGACAATATGAAGTACCAAATCCTCTCCCGGGCCTTCTACGGCTGTGAGTACTTGTCACATCCATGATGCCTTGAGATGTGTGATCGGCAAGGGGTAAGGGCTGTGGGGTAGGGGTGGTGCTGAGGCAGCAGGGCAGTGGCCGAGGGTGCTGGGACCAGCCTGTTGCATGCAGGGCCCTATGTGCACATGCTCAGGATTGGGAGCAAACATCTGAACTCTGATCCTCGGACTTCAGCCCAGCAAGCAGCAGTGCTAGTGATACAAGACGATGAGATACTGACCTGTCCCAGTAAACTCCCGCTTTTGCTGCTTAGGCTGGGCGTGGTTTCAGAGGGTCTCCTTCAGGGACCAGATTCATCAGAGCTTTCTCCTGCACTTCATCCTCATGGCTCCCTGAGTTCTGCAGCTGAATGTTTGCTTCTGCCTGATGCAGGGCTGGCCTACTGCAGACACCTCTCCACGGTGCGAACCCACCTCTCTGCGCTGGTTAACCACAACATCGTGTCTCCTGATGTGCCCTGCAACGCCAGCGCGGGACTGACTGTGGACATTTGGCAGAGATACCTGCAGGACAGCACGGTAAGGCCGGTACTTTTGGGACATGCCAGTTGTGGTGGGCTTGGGGTATCCAGGGCAGCTTCACTTAAGCGGTTATACCATGATAAGGTAAAGCGCACTGAGAAATTCCCTGAGAAGAGAAGTCAGACAGCCTGCCCCCGGCTGCGCAGAGCCCAGAGCTCCTAATACGCGACGCATGGAAGCTGGGGAACGAAAGCTGCTCTCCTGAACGTACTTCTATTCAGAGCCTACCTGCAGCAGCGTCTGTCACCCTGAGTACTGGGGTCTTGAGGGGAGTCCTGGCACGTGGTTACAGCAGGATAGCTGGAGAGCTGTGACCAGTGCCGTGGTCCTGACGTGCTGCCGGGGCTCAGAGGCACAGCAGTGACCTTGAGTGACTTTGGTGGGCCACTTTCTGACTGTGGTGAGCCAGTGTTTCTCAAAATGTCCACCTGCAGGGGCCTCTGGCTCTACTTAAGCTCAAGCAGAGATCTGAGAGATCATCTGCAATGAATGAGCAGCGAGTTTGTGGGTGGTCAGTGTCTGGGCAGCACTCTGGGTGCTAAAAGGTGGCACAGCCAGGCTGGGGTTGCCCTTGCGTCTGCCAGCTGATGGGCTGAGGACTTGGCTGCATCTGTGCACTGACTTGGAGCTCTTCCCACAGAGTTATGAGGACCAGGAGCTGCTGCGGCTGATCTACTATGGTGGGATCCAGCACGAGATCAGGAAGGCTGTCTGGCCCTTCCTTTTGGGCCATTATCAGTTTGGGATGACCGAAGCAGAAAGGAGAGAGGTTGGTATGGGTGTGCTGCCACCTCAGCAGCCCTGGTGTATTGCATTGATGTGCCATGGGCATTTCACAGCTTGAAGTGTCTGTCTGCCAGCATCCACCCTGTGAACCCACTGGGCGTTGTGTCCCCTTTGCCCTGTGGCTATAGACAGGAGGTGGGAGAAAGACTCCGATAAGCAGGAATTGATAGAACTAGCCTCAACGCTCCCCTGCGCAGCTGCTGGTTGCTTATGTTCAGTGCCCTGCACACCTCTGGAAGACAGGAAGGAGATGGGAGGTCATCTTTCTATCCTAATTTTTGTGAGGTTTTGTGGGTCAGGCTCTGGCTGGCACTGTGCAGGAGATGGGTGACTTTGTCCCATCTAGCCATAGTTAACAGGAGTGTGCATTTCTCTGTGCAGGGCTGTTGGGGGGATGCAGGAGATGCTGGTTTCTGGGCTCTTCTGAGGACAGCCATTTGAAAACCCTCTCTTTCTAAACGCTGCAGGCTGACGACCAGATCCGCACCTGCTACGAGCACACCATGGCGGAGTGGCTGGGCTGCGAGGCCATCGTCCGGCAGCGGGAGAAGGAATCGCACGCAGCAGCTCTGGCCAAGTGCTCCTCTGGGGCCAGTCTGGATTCCCACATTCAGAGAATGATGCACAGGGACTCGACGATCAGCAATGAGGTGAGGTTGCGGGGGCTTGGGGAGGGCTGTACCCACGCAGGCTCCGTGTTGGCCTGTGCTACAGGGCAGGATGGAGACACAGTTCTTGCTCACCCCCCTTCCCTGACCTCTGCCTGCCTCTGTTGCTCACTGTAATCTGTGCAAGTCAGAGTTGGAGCTTTCTTTCCTGTTTCCTTTCGTCTGCTCTGTGTTCAGCAGTAGGAGCAGGCATCTCCCGCAGTGTGACCCCCGTTTCCATACTGTGTGGTACTGCGCTGTCCCCGAGAGGTTTCAGTCTGCAGCCTGAGTGATGTATCAGAGGTCTAACAAATTTGCTTTGGTTCTTGCAGCTGCAGTATCCACAGCAGCACTGAACAGCTCTGTATCCGTGACCCACGAGTCGGGGTGTTGGACACAGAGGGCCTGAAAGCCAAGGGCAGCAGGGAGAGGGCAGGGGGTCCTGGCAGAGGGCAGCGGGTCAGCCAGAACCCCAGAACTCATTTGTGGAGCCGCATGTCCAACTCCAGACACTCTCACCAGTCCTGTGAAATGTTCCTTGTGGGTATTTCTGGAGAACAAGAGATACTCATTACCCGGTTTGCCCTCCTGGTACACATCAGGATTAGCTCCATGGAGGTCGGTGTTGAAGTAGGGGAAGGGAGGAGGACCATGTTTCTGGCACTGAGGGGCTGTGAAACAGGTCAGTGGGCTTCTTGGCTCCCTTTTCCATCAGCTGCTGAGCACAGAGGAGGCCTGGGCCCACTGCCTGTGGGCAGGAGGAGCGGGGTGGCTCTAGGGCTGGCTGTGAAGGGAGCCTGCAGGGCTCAGGGCAGCCTCGGCACACCGTGCCATGGTGGGACAGAGCTGGGCCCCAGCACGCAGCTCCATGGGACTGGCTTTTAGCACAGCCCAAACCAAAGGGTGTGGAGGGAAAAGCCTGTTAAAGGAAAGGCAGTTCTGGGAACAGAGTCCAGGCGGTGTGTCCTTGTGGGTTTTGTCGTTGGAGGAGAACAGCCTTTTGAGGTGCTGGGTTATCTGACCTCGTGCTGCCGCACCAGAAGCAAACAGAGGCCAAGCTGAAAAGGGCCCGGTAGCTGCGGCACTGGAGGGCTTCGCCTGGTTTCCTCTGGGGGGTTTGTGTGGATGCTTTGGGAAAGAGATGAGCTCAGCCCCAACCATGCGGGCAATGTGCACGTACAGACGGGGAGAGATGCAGGGAAGGCAAGTCCGAACCAGGGTCTGTGTGAAAGAGCTGGATGACAAAACTCTCGCAGGGGATGAGCAGAGGTGAGCTGCACAGTCGGCATTGCTGAAGTCCTGGGAATCATTTCAATCATTTCCCATCCCCACGACATCTCCGCTGTGGTTCTTTTGTATCCACGTCTGCCGGTTCTGGGAACATGCACCAGGAGGGGAGCTGGCAGAGCGAATACACGCAAAGGTCCACCCTTTTCCCATCTCAACCTGAAATTTCCTGTTAGAAAACGCTCCCATGGTAATGGAGGAAAACTGTCGCCCTTCCTCTCTCCATCAGAGCCCTGCCCCGCAAACACCCACAATACTAGGGTGGGGACAACTCCTGCTGCCGTTTGAAAGTGCCGTGTTTTCTTAAAACCCTGTTGTTTGTGAGCGATGTCATTGCAGCCCTCTGTACGTCCCAACGTGCGTGCAGCCTGAGCAGCCGCGGGCTCCTGCTCTACGATAAACCTGGCGCAGGGATGGCTCAGATAGCAGGGAGGACTCCCTCTTGAGTGTGGACTAGTTGCTCGGAGGGAATCCACGAGGCAGAGCACTAAACTGGTCGCTGCAAAGCCTGATGCTTCCTTCTGTGCTTCAGCTGGAAGCCAGAAAAGGGTGCTGTTGACTTTTAGAGGGGCTGCCTGGACTGACTCTGGCTTAAAACATCAATATTTGTCCTTTAAGAAAAGGAAAAAACATTAATATGCTTGGAGGGATTGTTTTATAGCCTGTGACTTCATCGTTTATGTAAACTACGATGGGGTGAGCTGCATTGCTGCCAAATTAGGACAGAGATTTGTAGAAATTTGCACTCCAGGGAGACAGCATGACCTCTCTGTAGGCCAGAAGAAAGCAGTTCCTTTCAGACCCAAACATACAGTGCTTGAACAACTGGACTGGCCCGTCTTTGTTTTTTGTCATCCATCTCCCCCAGCCGTAAATGTCAGTGGCAGGCTGAGGCAGGGTGCTACGCTGTGTGACAAATCTGCACGGCAGAGTTGATGTGAAGTAAACGTCTTTCATGGGTCAAATATGAGAATTTATTGAATGCATTTTCTGCTTGTTCTTTACATGCAGATGTGCCCACCTCTGATGGTGTGGCGTGAGCCTCCTCCCACTCCAGACACCGCTCTCTTTGCCTTTTCACTGACCTTTTCCTTCGCTCTTGCAGTCTTCGCAGAGCTGCAGCTCTGGCCGACAGAATCACGCCCGGCTGCAGAGCGACTCCAGCTCCAGCACGCAGGTGAGCAGCAGCGCTTTGTCCCCTCTTCCTCGTTCAGACACCGACCACCCAACAGCATACGGCTCTCAGCCCTGGCTCAAGCTGATCGCTAGTCGATAACTGTAAGGATTTCTGGCAAACAGAAGTGGTAGTTGGAGGAGGTAAACGACTTACAAACCTGCCTCTGGAGCCACTAAGGTCAGAACTGCACCCTGCTTGACCATTTTTAATATCCACCGGCCTGCTCTGCCCAGGCTTGAAGGACCAACCCCTACGTGGCCTTCACACTTGAGGGCCCTTGGCTGCTCCGTCTGTTTGTAACCATGTGTTTAACCAACCTGTTTAAATGACGTTCTGCCCGATATATTATGCTGAGTAATGCGTAGTCCTTTGGAGCAAGGACTGTGGGCTGTGAGTTGTGCAAATGAGCAAGCGCTCACCTGCCAAATCCAGGCAGGGGAACCTAAAGGCTGAGGTCTGTGCCCATAAATTCCTCCAAGAGTCTGGTTAAAATGGGACAGAGAGCTAGATGCTCAGGCTGAAGTTGTCTGTCTCTATAGCAAAGATGTGGGATACACAGCCAGGCGCAGCACTAGTAAATTAAAATGCCCTCAAGTCCTCTGAGCTTTCTTCCACTGGTTGCTTGTATAAGCCTTGAACATGCAGAGCAGATCTTCCTCCCTCCCCACTGTTGGAAAAGTGGGCTTTATGTCCCCAAGAGCTGCATGCAGAATGCCCATGTTCCCAACAGTTTGCTGAATGCAGGGGGTTTGCTCACTCTCACGTGGCTCTCTGCTCCTGCTTTGCAGGTGTTTGAATCTGTGGATGAAGTGGAACAGACTGAAGCAGATACTCAGCTAGAAGATGTCAAACAAAGCAAGATCCCCAACGGGACGGTTCCCAACGGCACGTGTTCCCCTGATTCTGGCCACCCTTCTTCCCAGAACTTCTCCATCACATCGGGGTTCTCGGAGCGCAGCTTCAGCAATGAGGACAGTGCCCTGGAAACCAACAAATCCTCGGCCAGCTCTCAGGGAAAGGCTGGTGGGTCCGACGTCCCAGCCCCACAGGACCTGGATGGTGCCCGGCAGGAGGAGGAGCTTCAGGGCCAAGACAGCCTGGAAAGTGAATTTTCCACCGGTGGAAGCGTGGACTTTGTTCCCATGAGTGGGAGCTCGGCAGGGGTCCTGCGTGATTGTCACGCTGTGGCCCTGACTGTGGTAGAGAGCTGGGCAGACAGCGAAGCCGAAAAGCAAAGCTTGGTGGAGAGTGAAGATAACCTCTCTGAGGAGCCGGAGATGGAGAGTTTGTACCCACAGCTGGATTCTCTGGCTGTAGCTGATCTGGCCAACAGTGAAACATCTGCTGTCTCCTTGACGGGTGTCACCTACTCTGTAAGTATGGACTTGTTCACTGAGTGGGTTGTTACTGGGTGCCTCACTATTTACCTACATTTGCCCCATGCTAATCCTGCAGCTGTGTGTACCGGGGCTCTCCACCTTCCCCCCAACCTCTGCCCTGTCTTGCTGTTGCCCTCGCAACTTTCTTTTTGCTTTCTATTTGAAAACAAATCAACTTTGCTTTTGTTTTGGGCAGCCAGAGCTACTGGACATGTACACGGTGAACCTGCACCGCATTGAGAAGGACGTGCAGCGATGTGACCGCAACTACTGGTACTTCACCCCTGCCAACCTGGAGAAACTCCGCAACATCATGTGCAGGTGGGGGCTGCGGGGGTCAGGGGCGGGGGGCTCTGCCAGCCCTCCCTACCACGGGAGCAGGCTCCTGGCACTGATGGTTGGTTTCCCTGAATTCACCTTGAGGCTGGAGCCTGAAACTTTGTTCTGGTTACCGAGTTTCACCTCCTTGACTTCCTCCTCCAATTCCCCTCATCATCATCCCAGAACTGGGGCCACAGCTCCAAGGACCTCACGGTCACCAGACGGAGGAGCCCAGCCATCCTGCCTTGTGCTGCTCTGCCCTGTGACTGCCGTGTGTCTGGGTTGTTGGCCAAAGCAGCGGGCTCCCTGGGGCTGCCCAGGCATGCTGCCTCGCAGTCTGAACCCAGTGCAGTCCACCTGCTTTCTGGCATACGTCTGGAAAATGTTTTAATGAGGATCGGCCTGCAGAGCTGTAGTGCTAATGAGGAAGTGCCTGAAGCGACCGAGTGGTTAGTGCCTACCCAAGAACCCAGGAGACGGCAATACCTGGGTGCTTTTCCGATTCTTTTTGCTTAGTCCCGATGACTAAGAGGTTGCTGTGTGACATTCACTGATTCAAACCAGCTCCAGCTCAGCAGCTGCGGCTGCTTCAGGGACAGCAGAGGCTAAAATATTATTACTCATCTTGTAAATACGAGGAGAAGCTGCTGTTTCATTAGAGCTGTCACTTTATCTGACAACCAGAGTTGGAGATCTCTGCCGAGATGAGGCCTACAATATAGCAGATTTTGGAAAACTAGTGGGCAGGATGGAAAAGATTGTTCCCTTGTGCCAACAGTGGATCCAAGTCCTTTCTGAACACATTTTGACTTGCTACCAAATATGGGAAGATATTTCTGCAGGGCTGGTTGCTTCCTAGGACAACTGGGTCCAGGGAGGCGAAGCAGACAATATCGTGCAGAGAGAGCCGAGAGGCTGAATCGAGGGGGGAAGGGCGAGAATGAGAGAGAAATTCTCTCCATCTCTGCCCTTTGACCAACCACCCCACTTTGCTGTGCTTTCCAATTTTGCTTTTCCATGCAATGGCCATGGCACAGCCCTGGATCAACACTGTGGGCTGTGCCATGCATGACTTACCTGAAAGTCACCACAGGAACTTAAATAATTTACAGGCCAGCTGTAAAGGAAAGGAGCATAGATGTAACAGAATAAACAGGTCTGATTTACCCTGCCTGCTGTCGTGCGTTGGTGGCAGCATGTAGGAAATGCCAGCGTCCCAGGAGCGGAGGCAGGGCACAGGCAAGCGAGGTGGCAGGCTGTGGCACTTGTGCGTGGCACGGGAAGGACTCACAAGCCACCTTTCCTGCTCTCTCACACAGTTACATCTGGCAACACATTGAGATTGGCTACGTGCAGGGGATGTGTGACCTGCTAGCCCCTCTCCTGGTCATCCTGGATGATGGTGAGTAGGTGGCTTTGCTCCGCTTTCCCCATACTTTTGTGGGAGCACGCGGCAGGGATCTGCTGGGCTGGTGGTGGCTCTTTGCAGTGGGAGGGTCCTGTGCTCAGAGGTGCGGAGCGGCTGGTGGCAGGATCCCATTTATCCTTGATGCTATCTGACTCCCAGGAGCCCAACCTGGGGACAGCACGTACTTTTTTTTGGAGTGTGAGCTGTCTTTCCAAGGCCAGTCCCTGCTGCATGTCCCTGACTGCGTGTGGAGCAGGGAGGGATCTTCTTGCTGCGGGTGGATGGCGGGGTGCGGTGATGTGGGTGCAGATGCAGCAGTGTCCGTGCAGCTGGGCAGTGACTGTCTGTCTTCTCTGCACAGAGGCTCTGGCTTTCAGCTGTTTCACCGAGCTTATGAAGAGGATGAATCAGAACTTTCCCCACGGAGGAGCCATGGACACCCACTTTGCCAACATGAGATCTCTGATCCAGGTAGGGAGGTCCTGGCACAGGGACAGCAACCTCTCAAACCAGAGGGGGAAAGCTGTTCTTGGGACGAGGGTCTCGGAGGGGCTGAGGGGAACTTTCAGTGGTGGGAAGCAGGAGGGAGAGCAGGGGCCTGTGAAGACAGCCTGGAGTAACGTGTGCCAGGATCGCAAAGGAGGGAGAAGCTCGGTGGAAGATGGTGTGGTGGGAGAGCAGTGAGAATGGAGGAAAGCAGGCAGAGGAATGACTGGTGCCTCTGGTGTGCACTGCTGAGCTGCTTTTTGCTTTTCTTGACAGATTCTGGACTCTGAGCTCTTTGAGCTGATGCACCAGAATGGTGATTACACTCATTTCTACTTCTGCTACCGATGGTTTCTCCTGGACTTCAAGAGAGGTGTGTGCTGGGAGGGAGGCAGCTGAGACCAGCAAATGGGGAGGGAAGGCAAGGTCTGCCATGCTTCCACGCTTCTCAGTACACTCTGCAACTTCAGTTGTTTGAACTTAACTTTTTACCATGTGTTCCTGTTTTGCTCTTCCCTGGTAGATTTTTGGCTGACTTTTCTGTCTAGATACAAAACCTGTTGTTCCAGAGCTGCTGGTGAGCCTCCACCGGGTTCGTGTCCCAAAGCCTGTGCCACCTGCTGCAGGCCAGAATATTTGTCTTTACAGATAACTGACTTACTGCTTCCAACTGGAGCAGGTTCTTGTGGGAAGAAACCACCCAGTGTGCCTTTCCAGTGCTGCGGTGAACTCTGTGAGTCAGGATCATTGTAAACCCGTGGCTGGTGTAGTAACTGCTGGGCTTTTTTCTTTATTAACAGAGCTGGTGTATGATGACGTGTTCGCCGTCTGGGAGACCATCTGGGCAGCTGCACATGTTTCTTCTGCACACTATGTGCTCTTCATAGCCCTGGCTTTGGTGGAAATGTACCGGGACATCATCTTGGAGAACAACATGGATTTTACAGACATCATCAAGTTTTTCAACGGTACAGCTTGTGTTCTGTTGGGCTGAATTTGTGGCAGCTGCTCAGATGTAGGCAGCACATGTCTGTCTGACTACAGACAGTCATATCTGGGCTATACTGGTCAATGTTTAAAACAAACAGAGCGGTGTATGGTTGTGTGATGCTACTACTTGGAAGATGATGGTAAAGAGACCCCTTGCCCCTGAACAGTCAGGCTCTGAGGGGGCCTGGTGGTGCCTGGGGGAAGCCACGTTGGCAACAGGCCCACCTTGCCGCACTCGCAGGGAGCTGTGAGTGTAGGTTGTGCTTCCCGCCGGCTGTAATCGTCCCGAGATGAGTTGGTTAATGATGACTCTTCAGAGTCTGGTGTCTCTGTGAGGGATGGTGCCTGGGGACTTGGGCAGGAATTCACAGCTTTAGCTCCTGCCTGGAGCTCGGCTGAGAAGCAGAGGGCTGTGAGGCTGGGGGGACTCCTCGAGATGCCGGGCTGCTCGGGTCTAGCGTCTTTGTGGGTTGCTTCTGTCTGTGTTCCAGAAATGGCTGAGCGGCACAACACCAAGCAGATCCTGAAGCTGGCTCGGGACCTTGTCTATAAAGTCCAGACTCTGATTGAGAACAAATGAAGGACATGGGGAAGACGAGGCATGCAGACAAAGAGCTGGGACTCACCTTCAATGCTTCCTCCCCTTCTCCTTTCTCTCGAAGTGCCACACCTATGGAAATAAGGTAGTTGGACACATGCTGCTGTCTAAACTGGAAGTACCCTTAGCTCTCCAAGCGCTGTGTTCAGTGTTAGGTCCGGGGGCCCCGGCTCAGATCTTCGCAGCCTTCTTCAGTGACTTAACCAAAGATGCGTACAACTGCTTTGGAAGCAGGACCCAGGCAGTCACTTCCTTGCCTTGCTGCAGCAGAAGGGCAGCAAGCGTGGTTACCACCACAACTGCCGAGGCGGTTGCCAGCATCCCAGGTCAGAGCTGGGGCTCTGGGAGAGCAGAGCTGCCAGCCCTCCTCAGGGCCGACTCGGGCTCCACAGCCTTTGTTGCAAGGAACTAAAGCTGCTTCCTTGGACAGCCGTTACCCTGTGGCGCGGGGAAGCCAGCCAGCCCTGCAAGCCTGGGCAATACAGGGATGCTGCCAGTGCTCAGTTTCTTACTAACATTAAGAGGTTCTGCCAGTAACAGAGCGGGGGACTTTGATCACAGAAATTCCTCTTTTGATCTTGTCCTTTGATGCGTAGCATCCCCTTCAGTATTTTTTTAGGGCTCTGTTCTCTCCCTGGGATTTTTACGTTGATTGTTACCACACTATCTGAGCACACAAGAGTTTTATCTCTGGATGGATTTTTCAGAAAAGCTCCAAATTCAGCATTGGGTTTTTCTTTCAAAATCCAGCCTCTGTAATGCTCTCTGAACACTGGAAAATCTGGTCCTAACCTCCTCTGGGAACTCTAGACTTGAGGTTTTCTTACCTGCCTTACTGTAGCTGCTTGTGTTAGGAGTCTGGTCTCCCTGTCGTTCCTCTGCAACCCCTGTTAGGGGAGAGCTCCTCAGAAGGCAAGTCAGAGCTCCTGACTTCGGTGACTGTCCTGACTTTCCCTCCGAAGGTGCCCATCTCTTCCTCTGTTAATTAAAAGACCAGCCGCTCAAAGCTAGACAGTGCAAACAATCCTCTCGGTGCCTGCAGGTTTTCTGTGTGCTTCTGGGGCTGGCTGCAAAGCCCCTAAGTCCACTGAAAGTCTCCAGTTAGGTCTTGGTGGGGCTTCTTTCACACATGCCTGTGAAGAGGAAAACAGCCCAAGGTCCCTGAGTGGTCTTTGTTTTTTGGAAGGTGCACTTCTGTGGTCACTTTTCCTGCAGTGGCCCTCCAGCGTTGCAGCCCCTGGAGCACACTGCATGAAGTGCCTCTCCAGCACTACCAGCCTGAGAGCTGAACTGCTGCGGCATGCTAAGGCTGCGCTACGGAGGGTTTGGATTCATTTTTCAACTCAGGTAAAAACAATAAAGGAAAAAGAGAGGTGTGGGTTGTTGGTAGGTCTAGGTCAGCCAGGGAGGGCTTGGTTGTGGCCGCAGAAAGCTGCCGTGAACGTGTGCTTTCAGCAGCAGGGAAGACGCTGGGTTGTAGCTCTCTCTAAGGGTACTTTCTCTCAAGTTTTTGCTGCAAAAATTTGTGTTCCCCCTCCATGCAATGTGCGATGTGTGTGCGCTCTCCTCCTCCCCTCTGCAAGATAAGGCCCTGCTCTTCTCTTGCTGTTGGAGTGCTGCTCACCAGAAGGGAAAAGGGGCCCTTCCCTTCTCCTGTGGAACATCTGTCTGTGCTGACTGTGTTTTGTATTTACTTGTGGCATGTGTCAGATGTTGCTTGCAGAAAAAAGATAGATGTCAATCTGCAGAAGAGAAAACTGCCGCTTCAGAAAAGTTCTGCAGAGCGTGATTGAAGCGGTTTGCAGTTTCTGAGCAAATCAGCTAGGCTTTCTGCGGTCCTGGGGCACGGAGGTTGCAGCCAGAAAAACCAGGGAGCAGTAGTGCATACTGAACCCTTTGGGGAAGAGGACTGCGGCAGGGGGTGAGAGCAACGGGGAGCCTTTCGTTTCTCATAATCCCAAGAAGCAAATGTCTACCAACAATCTAGGAAATTCTTTGAAGCAATTTTCTGCATAAAATCTCCAAAGAGTGCTTGGTTTGTTGTAGCGCAGGAAACGAAGGCATTTTGAGCTTCAGATCTGCCAGTTTGTGTGTGAATCTTTCATCTTTCCACAAAGCAGAGCGAAAAGCTCGTGCCCTCCCTACCAGGCTGTTCCTGTTCCCTTTAGACCCTAGGACAGGTAACGGTCGGCCGGCATCACCTTCTCCGAAGGGGAAGGGAAGTGCTCTGTCCTCCCCTTGCTGAGGGACGAGAACCAATAGGTCAACTTACACACGGACTTACCGAGCAACGTCGCTGACGCTTTATCTTTCAAGCTTCTGATTTTCTTTCCTTGGTTTTTAAACAAAAACAGCCAAGAAATTCTGCACAATATTTGCTGTCTGTATTAACTGAAGAGTGTCTTTGGGTCGCTCAATAGCAGTGTTTTTTGAATAACTTCTGGGGGGGGAAAAAAAGTATTTATTTATTGATGGTACATTACTGTGTGTCCTTGTATACTGAAGTATGTGAGTGTGCATTGTTATGCAAATGGAGATTTATCTTTTCAATGTTCTTTACAATATCTTGTAAATGTTTACCAGAAAATTGTGTCCATAGCTAATATATACATATACAGTATAGAGAGAAAATATGTGAATCAAGTAGGGTTATTTTTTGG